AGTGAAAGCAGAAGCAACTAACTAGTACATGTCCTAGGAAAATAACAAGTAATGACAACTAAATCCTAAAATGTTGGAGGCAATAACCTCAATCTGGAAACAACTGACTAGTGTATAAGTCATCAGAACAACAAAAGAAAAAACAACTAAATCCTAGTAATATTAGAGGCAATAGCCTCAGTCTGATATCAATAAAGCAACAACAAGACAACCATATCTCACAGGAGAAGTGTGTCGCAACCAAAGAGTGTGATGGTCTCCACGGATGGCGAATGTAGCCTAGGGGTCGATAAACTCCTAAAGGCATCCACACATAATGACAGGGAGGCATATGTCATCAGGCTCAATGAGGGTAAGGAACTGGGAGCGAACAAAACCAATGACCCTAAGAGATAGACCATCAGGGCGGGTAATGCTCGACCAAAGGGGTGTGACCACCACGGAGGGTCGACCATGCAAGGGAATACGGGAGCTTGGTATACAGGGCGCACCTAGATGAAGGATAGAAGGTTATCTAACTAGGGCATGAGGGCCGACATAGGGTAAAAAATGTGATGGGTAAGGGAATCATGCATCAAAGTCATTGATGATGTGCTTATCGACGCCCGCCACTTAAAGCTCGAAGCGGACACGCTTCGCAAGTTTCGGCGTGGCTTCTTTGGACCATGCCGCATTCTTAAGGCCGTCGGTGCTGAGACTACTTTTAGCCCGGTCAACTTCCGTGTAGAGCTGCCCGACAACCTACGTCAGGCTCGTGTGCACGATGTCTACCACGTTTTCTTCCTACCGCTCCGTCTGAGCGTTTCATTAGACGACTATACGAGCGCCCTCCACCCATCATGGTGGATGGCCACGAGGAGTTCCTCGTTTTATACATCATTGGTCGCCGATTTATCGACGACAACCCTCCTCATGTCGAGTATCTCGTACGTTGGAAGTGTTACCCTAATGAGGAGACTACTAGGGAGCCCCTCGAGTACTTACAAACGCTCGCATGTTGGTGCGTGCCTACGACCGTGCTTGTCGTGCTGGGTTGACTGCTCCTCCTCAGCCCACTGACCCTCTTCCTTCTCCCTCAGCTGAGAAGACCGCTGAAGTCAAGCCTGCTCCATCTGAGGTAGACCTTCAGCAGCAGCCGGATGCTTCTGAGCGTCCACAGCGCACTCGTTATCGTCCTGCTCGATACGACGATTAACTCTGACTTATCTTCCCACGTCTTTGACTTCTCGATACTCCATCCACTTTAGTTTTGCCATTTCAGCTCATCGATGTTGCGTGGATGATCCATCCTCGATCGGTTCGCACGTGCGGCCATGCGAGTCTGGGAAGCGGCTATATGCTCATGCGCGGTTTTCATCATCGACGTCATGTGCGCAACCCAATCATCTAGCACGGGACAACTCGTATCGGGGTGCATCTGTGACGGTCGAAGGGAGTCCACGAATACGAGGGTGAGAGCCGAGGTCGCAATAGTAAGGCGACATCCCCGTGGGTGGCAAGACTGCATGGTTGTAGGCTATCTCCGCGTGGGCAAGATGGAGATCCCACTTCTGGTCGTCACGAACAATCCTTCGGAGAATATCGCCGAGAGTCTTGTTCCTGACCTCGGTCTTACCATCGATCTGGGGATGGTAAGATGAGGGGAAGTGGAGTTAGGTGCCGTAAACCTTGTGGAGCCGTCGCCAGAATTGGCTAATAAAGCGCGGGTCACGGTCAGATATGATGCTCAGAGATAAGCCGTGGTGATGCACGACTCGGTCAAACACGATGTTGGCGACCACATGTGCACTGATGGCATAGCGGCACGGAACAAAGCGTGCAAGCTTCGCGAAGCGGTCGACGACGACCAGGATAGCATCATGACTGCGGGGTGTCAAAGGACGAAGAGGACCGATAAAGTCCATCGAGATGGACTGCCAACGACCCTCAGGGATAGAAAGAGGCTGGAGCAACCCATAAGGCAGGTGGTTCACACTGTTCACCTCCTGACAAGTGAGACACTGCGAGGTAGTCCTTCACAAAGTCCTTGCGCTTCGGCCTGACGTACAGGCGGCTCACATGAGTCAATGTCTTGTGGAAGTCCATATGACCGGCAACTGCCTGGTCATGGAACTCTGCTACTTCCCGGACACGTAGCTGTCCAGTGGAGGGAACGCAAATATGAGGCTCTTTGGTGCCCTGTGAACCGTGCCAGTACACAAGACCATTGTACCCGAGAGAGTAGTTCGGGATGGTCTTGCCACTCCGAACGGTCGCATGGATGTCACGATAGTCGGGGCAGCGGCGGTACTGGGTGCGAAACTCTTTGATCACCGAGTGGTGGACGGTGGTGACAGAGATGGTAGCAAGCTGGATTTGCCCCAGATCATGGTCAGGGCGCCGGGAAAAAACATCTGCGACCCGATTAATCTCACCCTTGATGTGCTCAGTGGTGAAACTAAACTCGGATAGGTCGCGTCACCAGCGAGTCTGTCGAGGAATGAGTTCCGGCTTTGTCATAAAACCCTGGACAACAGAGTTGTCTGTGCGCACCGTGAATGGTGTCCCATACAGGTAGTGACGCCAGTATCAAGTAGCATAAACTACTGCGAGAACCACACGTTCATCAACAATGTAGTTTATCTCGGCAGACAGGAACTGACGGGAGTAGAAGGCTATCGGACAATCACCTTAGAAAGACTCGACTGTACCGTCCTCGACGATGGTAAGAGAATAGTCAATAGAAGGCTCGTCAGTAGCTGGACGAGTAGGCATAAAGCGGGAAGCAGTGGTAGGGGTAGGGGGTGGAAAGCGAGGGATGCGAGGATGAGAGGAATCAGGGGAGGAGGGGAAAATATGAGATAGCACTGCTCCTACAGCAAAGTCTGGCGCAATGGTGGTAAGGATAAAAGAGCGATCAAAATCGGGTAGGTGCAAAACCGGTGCACATGTCACCACCTTCTTGAGGGCGCGGAACGCGTCCTCGTGAAGGGGTGTCCAAACACATGGCGGGTTCTTCCGGAGGAGGGTGGAGGTAAGGACGTAGGAATACCTAGCGTATCCCTGTATGAAATTACTAGTGAGGTCTAGGACGCTGCGAAGTTGCTTGGCCGATGTGGGGACAAGTCACTCCACAATAGCGGTGATCTTCGCGTCGTCCATGTGGAGACCTTGATCAAACACGTAGTGTCCTAAGAAATTCACTTTGCACTGGGCAAAGCGACACTCACTAGCAAGTTGCGAAGCTGCTTGGCCGATGTGGGGATGAGCCACTTCGCAATAGCAGTGATCTTCGCGTCGTCCTTGTGGAGACCCTGGTCAGACACATAGTGTCCTAAGAAATTCACTTTATGTGCAAAGCGACACTTGCTCAGCTTGGCGTAGAAGCCATGTCTGCTCAAGCGGTCAAGGGCATCGCGAAGGTGTCCAATGTGCTCTTCAAGGGTACGACTGTAGATCAAGATATTGTCGAGGTAGACGAGAAAGTACTGCTCTAGGATGTCCCTGAAGATGTCGTTCATCGCCCTCTGGAAGGTAGCGGGTGTGTTGGTGAGGTCGAATAGCATCACCGTAAACTCATAGTGGCCGAAGCGCAATCGGAACGCTATCTTCGGCTGGTCCGCTGCAGCGATGCAAATCTGATGGTAACCGCTACGAAGATCAATCTTCGTAAAGAAGCGGTTGCCTGCTAGGCGGTCGAACAACTCATTGGAACTAGGCATGGGGTAATTGTTCTTGACCGTGTAGCGGTTGGGGCCATGCTAATCGATGTAGAGACAGATAGTTTCATCCGCTTTGCGAGAAAAAAGGACGGGTGCACCCCACGAGGAGTAGCTGGGTTTAATGAAACCCAGTCTAAGGGGCTCCTCAAGCTGACGCTTGAGTTCGTTGGCCTTGGGGATCGAGAGTCTGTAGGGTGTCTTGTGGTGAACATGATAGTCAGGCACAAGCTGGATGAGATGCTCGACGTCGCGCATCGATGGGATGCCGGCGTACGAGAACGACGATGGGAAAACGTCGTGGTACTCTCGAATGACGTCATGAACTGCGGGCTCCAGGTCGGCCGTATAGCGTGCGAGTTCCTCGGCATCAGCATCAGCGCGCGACGGCGGGGTGAAAACTGACGACGGAGGGAGGGAAGTAGAGATGGAAGCCATAGAGATAGAAGGAGGATCCAAGTCCAGAGAGATGAGCTAGGCGTCTGGATAGGGTGGATCATAGTGCAAAAGATCCGTAACGTTCACCGTAAAGAAGGTGACGTTGTCCTGTCAGATGAAGTAGGCGAACTGCCGAGTCGAGGTGACGGTGACAGTAGGAGATGGTGTGGGCACGAAAGGCTCCGGGGGAGGAGCATCGAAGCGTGGTGTCGAGGTGGTACCTATAAAAGGTACGCGATACGTCTGTCCACACTTCGTTCTGAAAACGAGAGTGTTGGTCGCCCAATCGGCCTCGGTGCTGTGGAACCGACGAGACCACGGAGTACCAAGAATGAAATTGTACCCCGTCTCCATCACATCGAAATTTGCAGAGGAGCGGTGGCGACGAGGCGTCTGGGGACGATCAGTCGCCTCGAGAGTGAGGAGGAAAGGGAGGTCAGTGACGATGAGGCGTCTGGGGACGATCATCCCCTAGGGTGACGGAGATGGGAGTCGGTGACCCTGTCGTGGGTAAGCGAGCTTCTTTCGCCACACGTGGGTGAATGAAGTCGCCCTGAGAACCAGAATCCCACAACGCTGAGTACACCCTCGTGGAGGTCCCCAGTCGTACTGGAATGATCAGGAGGGCGCGATCAGGGTCAGAGAGGATGGTGAGAAGGCGACGCAGTGCGGCGACAAGGAGGGTGAGTCGCTCCTTACGAGCCTAAGCATGCTCAAGTCCAAAAGGGAGGACACATCGTCCTCGCGAGTCCCAAGTTGCTCGCTGCAATGGGCTGAGTGAATGGCTCGACGCGTCGGTAGTCACGCAGAGGAAGGAGGGGAGACGGTGGTCTGCGGAGGCGCAGACGGTACTGCGACAGAGGGTTGAGTACACTATGTAGGTCCTGCGATACCTCAACTCCAGTAGTGATCGTGGCAAACCGTGACGGAGATGTCGGGAAGTCGACTTCTGAGGAGGGCGCAGGTGTACACTGCACCGTGGCTAGGAGGCGTCACAGGGATGCGAGGTGCCTGGGGGGGACTGAGCACGACGCTGGCGAGAGAGCTCAACATAGTAGCGGTCGAGGGCGGCGGTGTAAGGGCACCACGAGGAGGTATGACCTTCCTGGTGGCAGCGCAAACACCCACGCCGGCCCAAAATGGACGCATGCTCCTCAGCGGAAAGGACACCGCGAGGAGGGACGAAGCCCTGAGGGAGGTCCTCCTTAGGGACCTCAAGGGGCGATGCGCCAATGTGACCAGAGCGGCTGCGTGCCCGAGAGAGGGTGGAAAGGGCGAGCTGGAGGCGCTCGGCTATAGGGAGGGTAAAGTCCTCAAGGTGATAGTGGATAGCCTCGCAGAGGTCGAGGTCATCGCTATGGTCATCCTCAGGCGACAACGGGGCAACAACGTCCTTCTCACCACACTCGAGCGTGCTGAAGCAGCGCGAGAAGTGGCGGCCCTACTGCGTGGAACGGCAGGGGCGACCGTGGAAAAAAGAACAGCGCTGAGGAGTGTCATGAGAGAAGGAGGGAGCGTAACGAGTACGCTGGGGCTGGGAGGAGGAAGTGGGGTGACGACAGGCCCGAATCCGCCCATTAACCTTGGAAGCCTCGTACGCATGCGGGGCCGATGTGAAATTATACAGCCATAGCTCAGAGTGGTACTCAAGGGAAAGGTTGGCCAAGAAGCGATCAATAAGGGCAGCCTCGGGGAGGAACGCCACATTACAAATGAGGCGGGCGTCCTAAAAGACTTGGATGTGGCGGTCCAGGCCGGCAGCGCCACCAAAGTCGGACCAACGTGTAGTGACGACACGCTCGAAGCCTCGAAGGCGTCGGTCATGTCATGTCGAGCTCCGAAGCGATCCTCGAGAAACGCCTCAAAATCTAGGAAGGTCGGAGTCCGACCCTTACGAAGGGAGTGCGTGCCTCCCAGACGTCGAAAGGACTGTCGGGCAGGCGCGTGGAGAGGTAAGCCACCCACGTGTCGGGTGGGACGCCCATGAGCTGGAGCGTGCGTGTGGCAGACTGCAGCCACCGAGACACGCGTATCCCTGTACCGTTGTCGGGCGGCTCTCTAACACCCGAAGGGTTTTGCTTTGAAATAAAAAATATTTTTTCCTTATTTTTTTGCATTTTTTGCTTGGTTTTGACGTCTGAGTGCATGCGGATATGGCGTTTGTGGATGTCCTCGGGCGTCCGGGTCTTCGTACTAAGCCTTCGGCTGGCTGAAGTGAGGATCCAAAACATGGTCGCAAGTGGGCTCGGGCGGATCATAAAAGATCGGAGTTTCGGTGTCAAAATCTGAAAATACGGGGCGAAGGATGTACATCGGAATGGGCCTTGGTCGGACCTAAAATGGAGAACCAGTGAAGGCGCTAGACCTCGGTTACGTATGACCGCCGAGCTACCACGGGTGCACGTGGTGGGGTTTGCTCTCACCTGGCTAGGAAAACGGTACTGAAAGATCAGGTTGGACGTAACGGCCCTTATCGTGAAGTAAGGCCGAGGCTATTCCACTGCGACAATCGCGAAAAAAGTCGTGGTTTCAAAAATCGGCAGCTGAGGCTTCTCATAGTTGGGGTGTAGCCTGATTTGGGATATGGCGCGCTGACCGAAAAGGGGGCGGGTACCTGGACGTGTCGGCTGCGGTCGGTCGATCGAAAACATCGGCAAAGGGATCTGGACTTCGCGTGAGGGCCACAGTATGAAGGAGGACGGTATAGGTTGTCTTTGCTTTTGCGTATTGGTGTGTGGATGCAAGAGACTTAGAAATTTTCGGGGGGGGGGGAGGAAGAAATTGCTTCTCTAAATTTTTGCTGACACTTTAACGAGCAGGGAGAGAGACAACCAATGCTAAGCGCAAAAGCGGGGGGGGGGTCACGAGATGGGCGACTCCAATGCAGAGCAGACCATGCGGGGCAAAAGACGGATGAAGTGAATTCCGACAGAAGAGCAGGCCGGAAAGCGCCAGCAGCCGGTGTTTGCAGACATAAAACTGAAATGGGAAAATGAAGACGATTGAAGTCACGTTGCTAGCAGGGTAGGTTCCCGTAAAAGACACTGGGCACAGATAGACATGCTCTAAAAAGGGGGATGAGGAGCGGTGAAGCTAGGCAAGCCATGGCATCAACCGTCCGGGACCGACTGAGGGGTCAAGAAAGAAAAGAGGAGCCTTGGCTCGAGCCTTGTCCAGTGTGTATCGGGCTGAGACTTCGGTAGGGTGCAGTACGGCCAGTCAAAAAAGTGGGAGACGGAGGGACGCGAGGAAATAATCTGGGGCAGCGACTGAAACAGTTGGGAAAAGAGGAGGCGGGTATTTTGTTCTTGATAACTGTGAAAAAAAAGAAGAGCGGCGCGGGCTTTTGTTCCCGACTATAAGCAAGGAGAAAAGATCCGAAAAGGGGGAAAACGAACGATGGGATTGGAGAAGAGATGACAATCGCGAGCGCATCAGCGGGGGCTTGAAATTGGAGTTGGCCAGGCAGAGTGTGGGAGCTCCTGCGGGCATAACAAGCTGGATTAGGCGGGCGAGGAGGACCTGGGAGTAAAGGAAGCATGGAAGGGAAAAGGGAGGCGGTTCGTAGGGAAGGGCAAGCGACGAGGGCGGGAGGTAAGCTCTCGGTAATGTACTTGGGCGGGGACTGGGCCGAAGTACAGTCGGTTTTCCTGCAGGGCGAAGCGAGCAATCCGATTAACAAGAAGGGAAGGGAAGATCGCGAAGTGAGGAGGAGCGTTCGGGGGAAAAACGGAGGGAACTTCGAAGAAGAAGCAGGAGAATGGAAAAGTGACAGGAACTTTGCGAAAAAATCGAAAATTTGGCAAGACTGTTGGCGCGAGAATGAAGAGGAAAGGAGAGCGTCATGAATCGAAGAGAAGGGAACGCAGATTGGCAGAAAAGAGGAAGGAAGGATCGATGTACGAGAGAGAAAAAGGTATAAAAGGAAGGGGAGAGGAGAGTGAAAGGGGGGCGTGCGAGTACGGATGCGCACGAAGGATGTTAGAGTTCGTCTGCGCTCGTTCCGGGGAGAAAAAGAGAAAGAGAGGCCGAGGGGGAGAGTGCAGGGGCTAGGACTAGAGGAGAAGTGCTAGTGTCGAGGGAGCTACGGGCTCGCACGAGGATTTGGTTGAAGTTCTCTAACGCACGGGTTGATCTGGCTTGCGCCGTTGCGCCCGAGGAAGCGCCCGACATGTAAGAGATGGTATGAGGGCGTGAGGAGACGAAGAGAGAAGGGATGGGGAAGAGGTAGGAAGGGAGGAGGAGAGAAGAAGAAGCGCGCACTGAGTAGATTTGGCGGTCGTCATGCCCCGTCGAAGAAGGGTTCTTTGGGCGTACGCATGCGGACCAGTTCAGCCGCACGTCGCTCACGAGAGGGGCTAGTAAGCTAGCCAGCTCGCCCACAAGCGAGGGAAAGAGCGAGAAGGTTCGCCGGTGAGTGGGCCCGGCTGCGTCCTCGTGGGCGAGGGAGAGGGGAGAGTGGAGGGAGATCCTTTGGGGAAGGAGAGCACGGGGTAGGAGAGCGCGAGAGCTCGAGCGCTCGCGTTTTTATGCACAAGTTCGAGACGCTGGCGCCAGGAAGAGGGTCGGGCGCAGGGAAGAGAAAAAGAGAGAGATAGAGAAGAGCAGAGCGGAAGAAGAGGCTGGAGATCGTGGCCAAACGACACGAAGTGGCGAACTCCGCACGCGGGGAGGGGCGCTCGACGAGCGAGCTGGCCAGAGGAAAGAGAGGGCGAAAAGGAGAGGGAGTTCAAGCTACTCCACCAGAGCGCACCAGCGTCCGGCGCCAGGACCTGCCGACAGGGGACCTCGAGGCCTCCGCGGGAAGCGACATCGGGTGGAAGAGCCGTGAAGAGAGCCAAACAAGTTCGAGAAAAAGAGAGAGAGGGAGAGAGGGAGAGAGAGGGAAAAAAAGAGAGAGAGGGCGAGGGAGGGATAGAGAGGACCTCCCTGTCTGAGAGGCTGGGAGAGCGCAAGAGGGGGGGGGCGTAGTCAGGAGGGGGGGGCAAGTACGGGCATGAACGACACTGAAGCGGGTCGCTCGAGCGAGGGGAGGAGAGCACCGAGAAGAGGAGAGGGGTGGGGGAAGTTTTTTTTGCGCAGTGAGTCCGGGAGCTCGGGCGCATGAAAGGTAGGGGAAAGCACGTGGCAGAAGGAGCTAGCGCTCGTGCACCACACAGCTTAATGTCACCTCTTCATTCGAGAGCGCAGGAGGGGCTGTGAGAAAGGGAGGGAAAGGAAGAAAGAGAGACGGAAGGAAAGAGAGAAAGAGAGGGAGAGGCTGAGAGAACGGGAGAGGGGAGAGAGAAGTTGGGAAGAAGGGAAGAAAGGACTGTCCCTGATCGGCGGCAAGCCGATCGCTTCGGCCACTCGCCCGACGGATAGCCATGCTTGATCTCCGGTCTGTCATCTAGACTGTCCGCCTGGCCCAAACTCCCGATCAGCGGGTCGCCCCTTTTTGGGTTCGCTTGCCGGTCCCTCTTTCTGCTGCATGTTTTTGTTTCCCGTGATTCTCTCAGGTAAAATCCTTCCACTACCGTTCGCATGATCGCAGGCCCTGGGCAGAGCGAGTGGGGAGTGGTATCCGCGGGAAGTCGGGTCGAGGATTTGGACTTTTGCTTTCGGGTCTTGTTCGCGGTGAACCAGTGCGAGGATTCAGATCCCTTGCTTTCGGATCTTGTTTGCGATATATTTTTTTCTTTTTTTCTTTTCCTTTTTTTTGCAGATCGCTTGACGAATACTCCTGATCCGTACCGCTTTTCGGGAGGGTGCCGACGAAAACCAAGAAGGGGGGGGGGCTCGAGCGAAGGGGGGGGAAGACACCTGCTTTTTTTGCCAGACTGGAATACCAGTTTTCGTTCTTACTGTTGGTAGAAACCGGGTTCTCTGGCTTCGTGTGTGCAAAGATGCTTGTGCTCTAATATCCTAAAAAGTTCTTTGGCTTCGTACGGGAGTGAAAGCCAGGAAGAAGCATGCTCGCTTTGACAGTACTTACCCTGAAGATTGGCAGAAGCTGAATCAAGATCTCCGGTTTTGTGTGTGCATGCTTTCACTTGAATCCCCCGTTCCTAGAGTTCGTTGGCACCGCTCTGAGTGGGGGTAAGGCACCTAACCGACCTGCAGGGCAAAGCTCAGAACTAAAGGACGAGCAGTTAAAACTGGTCATCTGGACGGGCTCTCGCCCGGTGTGAAACGGAGAGCGGTCTTGCAAACTCGCAGGGATGGAGAAACTGAAAGAAGGGGGGCACTAAGTAAAGAGCAAAAGGCGGGGGGCCGGGCAATCGCCGACTAAGGGGGGGGGTTACCCCGACAAAGTGGCGCCGTTGCCAGGGATGAGCATTTCTCCCGCGGCCGCGGCCGGCTCAACAACTACGGGGTGAGGGAGGACCAGCGTGACATGCAGCGGTGGAGTGAGTTTGCGGTGTTCTTCAAAATTTTGGCATCGAGCTCTTCGACACACGTCTTCAAGGTAGTCTCCAGCGGATTCTCCACGGTGATCACGGTGATGTCGGCGAGGGGTTTATTGGGGTGGGGTTTGTTGTTGGGTTTTGTCCGGTGCGAGGGGTTTTGGGTGTTGGGTTCGTCTCCTTGGCTTTTGCAGGTCCACTCCGACCCGCTTGCGATCTTGGCTCCCACTTCCGGCCTTCGAAGGGGTAAACAGGTCAGTTCCTTTTGAGTGCTTGATTTTTACGAGTGTTTATTTATGAAAAGTTGAAAACGAAGGGGGAGCACAGTTTGCTTGAGGGGGCTGAATGAGGGTGAAGAACGGCAAAAGGGTGGGAAGAATAATAGTCCGGGAAAATAGCGTAAGGGGGTCTGCTCAAGGGGGAGAAAGAGAGAGGGGGAGGGAAAGAGAGGAGAGAGGGGTCCGAGAGGGTCCGGGGGCGCTGTCTATTTGGGACCCGAGGGGGTCGCCAAGTATTCTTGATCCGCACGGGTTGTGGAGGGCGCCTACCCGGGGGCAAAGTCCCGCACGAGAGAGGGTGTCTAGAGAGGGGTTAGGGGCTTCGGTTCTCGACCCGCGGGGGCTGACGACGGTTCCTACTCCCACAGGGGAGCGGGACTCTCAAACGGGACTGGTTCGGGACTTGGGGGAGAGGAGAGTGGTGTTACGGGTGCCGGGGCGAGGGGGAGAGAGAGGCTCACCTACCCGTCTTAGCGAGGGCGTTAGAGAAGAAGGGGGTACTTGGGGGACCTTGGACGAGGGATCGGAGACCGACTCCTGGGTGGACCGGTGTCTAGCCAATTTGTCGGACTCGGATCTGGGGGACTATTGCGACTATGATAACGAATATTGAAGACTTAAGGTACGTATGTTTATCTACCTCACCTGAGAGCCTCTTCCTAAAGCTCCGCTCTTCCCACCCCTTTTTCTAATTCCCCGATCTTCCGGTGATTCCAAGAGAGAAAATAGGCAGCAGGAGGCGGAAAAAGGGAGAAGATGACGAATTGCGAAGAGTTCACGATATGGAGAATGGGGAGGGAGTAGATAGGCTAGTGATTTCTGATACATAGGTGGATCTTGTCCTGGGACCCGGGTAATTCCACGCTTGAGGTGGGCCGAGTAGAGGCGTGGTGCCGGATAGGCTAACTTAGGACTAGAGGTCGGTTCAGTGGGAGACATAGGGCCCGGGTGTGTGACTTCGGTCCGACTCCGGGGAGGGGGTTGCCACCCTTCCTCGGGGATAACCTGTGTCCGCGGCTAGTCTCTCGGCCGGGAGTGGGGAGGAGTCTCTCAGCGGGGGAGGACAGGAAGGTAGCCGAGTGAGACGACGTTCCTTCTCTGGTCCATTTGATCCTTCTGAGGTCACAGGCTTCTTTTCCTTGCGGGATAGAGGTGGTCTCTCGGGTGGCCAAAAGGAAATAGGAACTTAAGAAATTTTCCTTTGATTATACTCCATGAGCCTAGAAGTCGTTCCAGAATGGATTAGTGTGTGTACGTACGGTAGTGTTGACGTGTGGTTTTACTCCTTTCGACTATGGACGGGTGACTTTGATGTAGGTGTCTATGTAGAGGAGGGACAAGATCAAGGAGAGGACTTCCTTCTATTGGGAAGAGGCGATAGGACATTCCCGCGGTACTTGTGAGGAATTAACGGGTTATGGGTACAAGTATTTCTACTCTCTAGGATATCGAACCTACCCCAGAGGTGGTCGCCCGACGCCGGTAATTCCGGACGCTTATCTCGATGGGTCGGATGAATAGAAAGTGCTAGTTGGGATTGTGGAGAGAGTGGTGGGAGCGGCGAATACATGAGCTTGAGGCCTTTGGAGTTTGAGCCCGCAGGGATTACTGTAGGTGATCGAGGCGGGGTAAACGTGTGGTGCTATACCTTCTACTGATGGACCGGCCACTTCGACATAGCCTTGTACGTAGAAGAGGGTGTTAATAGGGAGGCATGATATTTGGATAGCTGGGAGGAAGCGATCGGTCATGCACAACTTGAGAGGCAATTGCTGGGGGCTTACGAGATTAACTACTTCTACTTGTTGGGGTGTAGGACGTTTTCACGAGGGGGTAGGCCTGTCCCCACTATTCCGAACGCTTTCCTAGACGGGTCGCACGATTGGAGGGCGCTGGTTCAAATCATAGAAGAGATAGTCCAAGGGAATGGTTAGGATCGTCGAGGGTACTAAGGAAGGAGTTCGGATAGAGAAGGCGGATTTGAGCAAAGACAGGGAGTTCTTCAGCGTCCCTTAGACCACCGCACGGAGAGGTATCTAGCCGGTCGCAAGAGGGGGTTAGAGCTAGAACGAGGGTTTTTTCTTTGGGCTCGTTTCGCGATAGGAACTTGGGAGGGGGACATGTGGTCCCGGAACAGGCCCCAGAACGGGAAGAGACCCAGGCGAACGGTGATCCGTGCGGAAGGAACTGTCTACTTAAGTAAGGAGGCCTGGATCGATTACGTCACACATTTGGACCTGTGGTGGTACTGTACGGATCATTGGGAGGCACGAGCGGGTCCAATTTTGAGGCAGATCTTTCAGGCTGAACCCCTTAGACACAGCCCGCCCATTGAGGTAAGGGTGACCTGCGTGCGAGACGAAGAATACCCTCGCGCCACAGGGTGCGTCAGAGCCATTTTCCCATCGTTCGTTTTCCGAAGGGTGAGCGGGAAGGAGAAGTGGTACGACAGGGTTGTGCAGTCCATAGTACGAGAAAGGGGGTGGCAGCTCTCCCTTAGGTCGCTCCATTGGTACTACAACTATTGCGTGGATAACCCGGTGCCATACGGGATCAAGGCGTGTAGGATTCGTGCCGGGATCTTTAGGGAGTCTACCCAAGACCGCGAGGGAGGAAGGGACTACGGATACCAAAGAGTCTTCGGGGTGCCACAAAGGATCTTCTAAATGAATGGTGTTCCATGATAGACAGCAGGGATGCTTCGTAGAGTCCTCCTTAGAAGACCGCGAGGCCCTTAGGCTGGTCCCTAGCAACGGGGAAGTTCCTGATTGGAAAAGGATAGAAGGAGGGAAGTCCACGGTTAGTGGGGAATTCGTGTGGGTAGAGTCCAAAGAGGTAGAAGGCCAAGGTCTTGGGCGGAGTCTTGAAGTAACAGCGATAATTTTCGTAGCACCTGAGGCTTGGGCGAAGCTCGTAGTACCCCTAATTCTGGGACAAGGGGGTGGGATGGAAAAGTTGTTACGCGAGGCGAGAGAAGTGAGAGGGGAGTGGATAAGTAAGGTTAGAGAGCGACTTGCATTCTTGTCTGTGGAAAGGGAGAGGTTCGCGAGGGAGAGAGAGCTTCCAAGGTCAAGTTACCCGTTAACTGTGAGGGTGCCGTCTTACATGTTCCCTAGGGCAAACGAGGGAAGGATAGTGTGTCTTCTAGAGAGGGGTAGGGGTTTGGGGCTTACCTTCAGGGCCCTGTGGGTGCTGTATACGCACTGCATCGATCAGGGAATTCCGCCGCGCAAAAAACTCTGGGGTATTTTCCGGAGGCTAGGGTCCCTAGAAAAGCCCTTCACTCTCTCTCCTGAAAAATATCGCAGGTCAGCCTTTAGAACGACGATAGCAGATGGTGAAGTTCGAGCTCAGTGAAAACGGGGTGGTGGAATCAATAGAGGTCAGTGACACCGAGAAGGTTTTGGTTCCAGGTGACCCTCAAGTAACCCCTTATTGGATGAGCGTTGAGAAAGGGGGACTGATCCGAGAAGGGGCCTACGTGTGGGTTCGAGCTCGAAGGCTCACTTGGAAGGAAGGTGTGGAGAGAGGAGGCTCACCCGACCTCGGTCGTTTCCTGGAGATTCGGGCTACAATTTTTTTTAACGAAGAGGTGTGGGCCGAAGTCTGGAGGGGCTTGGTAACCGAACAATTGACGCATTTTGAATACCGTGAGTTCGCAAGGCAGTTGGCAAACGACCTAGTGTTAGCTGACTATGAGGAAGGGACTTTCGAATCGTGGACGCTACTGCCCTTCGCTGAGCCCGGCGAGGTCCCTCGCTCGTCCGGGGTCCTCCACACTAATCTGCCCCAGTTTGTGGCCAGCTCTTTCCTAAGAGACCCGGAGGAGAAGGTAGTAGCGGTGCTTAGGACGGCTCGAGAATCCGGGGTACGGGCTAGGGGTTTGTTCTCGCTTTATACTCGGTGCGTGGACGCGGGAATTCCCCCAAGGAGTGAGCTATCCGCCATATTCGGAAGATTGAGGGAGTTTGAGGGACTCTGATCTCTCATCGCGGACGTTCCGTACGCCCGCCTCTTCGGAGAAGAGCAGGTGGCTAACCGGAGGGGTTTCGAGGGCCGATGATAAGGAGGATTCCGAGAACTCTTTGGGCGTCCATAGAGCCCGTAGAGGATACCGGGGAGGTTATCAGTGTCACTCTACCTAGGGCCTCGTTGACTGAACTGACAAGGACTCTCCTGCGAGAAGAAGGGGAGATCCGGCGCGGTAAGGCGTTCATACGATTTGCGGTGAGTCGCCAGGGGGAGGTTGTAGTGGGAGAAACCCGAATATTCCTCTCGAGGGAGGGGCTTGTTGAGATAGCGCGTAGCTTACGGATTGGGCAGGACCCTCTCTGGGACGCTCGAGCTGTGAGGGGCCGGCTAGGGGAGTTAGTAGAGGAGATGAGACCTCACGAAGGGTGCGACGAGGTATATCTAGTGACCTACGGGGGTTTGAAAGAGATACCGCGGTTCCTCTCCAGCGAGCTTGTGGAGGTCCCCTGTTTCATTTTTGAGCGAGTTTACCCCTCCGAGGTTGTCAAAAGGGCGGTAGGAAGACGGGTTTCCATCTTAAGTCAGTTCAGGTTCACGGGATCGGACCTTCACACCTTGTTAACTTGGTGTTTTCGGGACTCCTGTAGACACGATTGGTCGACGCTAGAGGACCTGGGTTACGCCTTTGAAGGGTGGGGTCGACACGCGAGGGAGTCTACAATATCGTGGAGATACTTAGGTAAGATCTCCGAGGGAGAGCTAGCGGGGTTGGACCCCTCTGACTCAATTCGGATAGCAATTGCGTGTCGTCGACGAAAGTTAAGGGATGACCGAGTCGGACCTTGAGGAGCTTGTGGGGTTGGATAGCGTAAGGGAGGAAGTTCACCGGTTCCTTGCTCTGTGTTGGGAAGAAGAGAGGAGGGCTAGGCCAGGGTCCTTAGCCAGGATCAAGCTACTTGAGACGGCCACGATCGCTATCCTCGACAAGGTCACTATAGATCTTCTCTCGTGGTGAGGGGATGAGAGCCTCGTTCGTCTCCAATAGGATTCGTTGGGAATTAGAGACCTACGAGGACGGTAGCGAGGTTCGGATCGAGGGGGGTGCCGAGCTTAACCCGGAATTGGGAGAGGACCGCATAGTCCGCGCCGAGACAAAATTTCTAGTGGAAGTCTGAAGGATGGCCTTGTGGAAAAAGAGAAGTTGGACCATGCTAGCTACCTTTTCATTCCACATTAGAGACGCGAGTGGCGTGAGATTCTCTAGGACTTGGAGGGAGCCTTTGCTGGAAGTAGAAAGAAAGTTCGAGGAGGATCCTAGGTATCTAGGAACGCCGCTGACATCTAGGACACACCTTGTGCAGACCCGATTTTGGGATAGAACGGGCGAATACGAGGAGGTTTTGCGCCAAACTCTGAGAGGGGACAGAGAGGCCGGTCGTGCTAAGTGCAAGGATTCATTGGTCGAGGCCGCCCTGAGGTTGGCAGGCGTGAGGTGATGCTCCTATGATTAGATACGAAAGGGGGGACCCTTACGGTACCTTGGATAGGGTTTTGACGTGGGGAGGGAGATATGGAGTGACTCTCCGAAAGTTAGAGGAGAAGGAGAGGTAACTACCGAGTTCTTCAAAATCTACGAGCAGGAGACAGTGGTCAGGTTCTCAGTAGCATCCGAGGGGAATAGTTGCACGAGAAAGGCGGAAATATTTTTGTCCCCTGACGCTCGGCTAATCTTCGCAACTGAATTAGCGGAAGGGAAAGATCCTCTAGGCATCGCCGAAAGAGCCCTAGAACGAGTGCAAAGATTAAGAAGAGTTGGCACCGGGGACCTTGTGATCGACCAGGTAGAATACCGAGGGAGGACGGAAGTCCCGAGGGCAGCCCACGGGAGAACTTGGACCATTCCTACCTGGGCCTATTGACTACTCTACGCTTACGACGAGACCGTGAGGAGAGTCTGATTGAGGGGTCAAGTGATAGAAAAATTCCCTCTGGGTGAAGAAGGGGGCCACAAACTGTTCACCCAGTGCTGGGAGTCGAGAAAGGACACCGACTTTGAGTGGTGGGCACGCGTTGGGGAGTTTATCAAGCCCCTGTTCTCCGGGCAGGCGGGTGATGTGGACCGAGATCTGATAAGGAGGTGCGCGCAAGAGGGGATTAGGGGCGTCTCGGACCTTGAGATCGTGAATCTTGCGTTGGCCGCCAACGAGGAGAGGAAACGAAGGGATTCCTGGTGGACGGTGACCAGCCAGGAGTCGGAAGGGGAAGGTACTGACGAGGATTCTAGTGAGGAGAAGGGGGGATCGAAGGAGGAGAAGAACTCGGAAGATAACGGGGACAATAGTGAGAAGGATGAGCCGGGAAGTAACACGGGCGATAGTGAGGGAAGCGACTAGAAATTGCCAATAGGGGTGCATGGAGAGTGAAGTGGAGGCTGGTCTCTCAAGTCCGCCGGAAGCCACTGAAAGAAGGGGGATAGAGAAGAAATGACAGAAGGGGCGGAGACGCTAGATAGGGCCGAGGTGGGTCCGGAAATGGCTCCGGGGGAGAGACAAGCCTCGGAGGGGCAAAGGGCTGGCACGGAAGTGCGAGTGCACAGGGATGTGGGGCCGCGGGTGCCGGTAAACGAAGGGGTCGCCGAAGCCGCGAGAGGCGTTCCGATGGAGTCCCGTTGGGCTCACCTAATGAATGCGGAAGCAAGGTTAGAAGAAGCGCGGGGATTTCCTGGAGATAGACAGGGGTATCGATCACTTAGGAGGGAGGAAGAGGAGTGTCAGGACAGGAGGGACCTGAGGGAGGGGAGGTCAGCAGAGGTCGGCGGCGGGCCGCGGAGATGGGTCGAAAGGGTACCGGAGGCTGTCACAGGTGAAAGACAGGCCTTAGTGGGACTGAGAACTGGTACCGAGAACTGGTACCGAGATGCGAATGCCTGCGCGGAAAGGAGCGATCGAGGGCTCGAGGGACCTTCCTATAGAATCTCGGTGGGGGGATTCACCGGGCGCAAGAATGGGAGAAGCCTTAGAATTTCCAAGAGATAGGGGGGGGTACCGACCACCCCGGAGAGAAGAGGAAGGGGGACCGAGTAGAAGGGGCCTTAGAGACAAGAGGCCGGCGGAGGCTGGCAGTAGGCCACGGAGATGGGCCGTAAGAGAAGCGGATGCTGCATGGGCTCCCGGCGAGATGACGGGCAGGAGTCAAGGGGTGGAGGCCTGAAGAAGCTTAAGAGGGTCGGGCCACGCTCGGTGGGAGGCGGATTGGCCGGATGAGCGGGGCCGCTACGGGGAAGACCCCTGGGAACCACCGAGACCTCGGGGCCGGGTAGAGGAGCCGGATCCCTCATGGTACAAGCCGTACGACCCGACAATCGATGGACCAATGGAGGATCCCGATTTTCGCCGATACGACGACAGACGAGTCCCTTACTATGACGTCAACCTGGGTCTGGAGGCACTTTTCTTCGACGGACGAGATGTGACTGGGTTCGTGGAGAAATGAGAAAGTTACGCTTACCGGAAGAGATTCTCCGAAAGGGAGTGGATCGACTATTTCATCCAGCACTCGGACCCCGAGTTAGACACCGCGATCCGGGCTATCTACCCCTCAGACGGGCGGTGGAGGACCTTCAGGGCGAGCCTACTGCAGACTTTCGCCTGTGATGACCTGATCCCGACCGTGGAAGGCTTGCGACGAATTACAAAGGGGGAGCGGGAAAGCTTGGTGGCCTTCACCTGAAGGTTCAAACGCCTGTCCCAAGCCCTAGTGGATAGGGAGATGCTGTCTGAAGTGGATAGGTGCGTGATGTTCATGTTGCACCTGCCCGAGGAGAAACGGAAAGAGGTCCTTGAAAGGCCCCGAGGGATTCCGCCGATTTCGAAAAAGTGGCGGAGGTGGTTTTCACAGGAGGAGGAGTAAACGTGAGGGAATACATGAAGGAGACCTTAGACATGACACTCCGCAACATGCGAGGCACGCAGAGCGATGGTCCAAGGGGGAGCGATAGACCGCCCCCTGGTCCGCCGGTTCCCCGGTTGGGAGAACGGCCGACCGGATGGAGGAGTGAATCAAGTGGCCAAGGAGGTTGGAGGAACGACCGGGAGATAGGGGGGAATCGTGGTTCCGATTGGGGGGGTTCCCATTGGAAGGATGCTAGGGATGGAAGGTGGGGAGACTCCCCTCAAGAAAGGGCCATTGGGCCGCGACCGGAGGTTAAAGCGCCACCACCACCAGCACCACCACCGCCGGCTCCGCCTGCACCCCTAGCGGCGGCCACACAAGGGGGTCCGCGCCCCAACAATCCCCAAGCTCGAAGCGGGTGTGTCTACTGCAATGAAGAAAATCACATCAAAAGGGACGGCCCTTATCTCACGGAGGCCTTAAGGTTGGGGGTGGTCAAGCTTAATGAGAACAAACGGGTTGTGTGGGAAGATTGCGAAGAGGCGGTCTCCTTTTACCCATCAATGAAAGTGAACGTGGACAACAGAGTAGCCCTTCAGGAGGCTAGACTGGGGAAGAAACCGAAAGTCGTAAGCTCCTCCAACACTACTCACATTCAAATGGTGGAGTCACCGGGAGGGTTGTCCAAGGGAACCCCCAGTGTCAAGCATCAAGTTCATAGAACCAGCCCGAGGAAGAGAGGCCCTGCCTAAGGGTGAGGACGCAGGTCGGGACCGAGACGTCCGAGAACCAAGCAAGCGTGCCGGAAGGAACGGAAGTGAGAAGCGGCGACAATGACCAGCCTATGGCCGATGCGAAAGCGGTGGAAGAAAAGAACGAAGAGCCCACCTCGCCAAAATCGCCTAAGAAAAGGGGGTTCATAAAGTTCGAAATGAAGTGCACTCTAGATGAGATAGACACGGTAGCACCCCTTAGGAGAACCCTGATGCAACCTATGCAGTGCACACTTTTGGAATATCTAGCCGCGAGCAAAAGCGCCAAGGAGGAGCTCCTAAGCATCACAAGGAAGGTAAGAGTCCCGATCGTAGGGGGACCCACGGTGCCGGTGGAGGGTCCAGCCAAGGAAGAAGTACAGGCCTCCCGCATTACCATGGAGGAACTACCTGCCAACTTCTTCTCGATAGAAGAGGCTAAGAAATTAAATGTGTTAGGTAGTTGTCAGTTCCAGGCGGTAGTAAGTGGGAAGAAGATGAGGGCTCTAGTAGACAACGGGCCCAAGTCTACGGTTTGTAGGGACTCCATCGCACGGGAGCTGGGCTTGGAGATAGATCGAGGGGTCTCAATGTCAATGGTGGTGGCCGATAACAAGCTGCAACCGGCGGAAGGGGTGTGTCATAGCCCCGTGATCGAGGTTGCTGGCGTAGAGACCACGGTCCCGATAAGAGTGCTCCTCCGAATTGATCCTCAGGAGGACCTGGCTGAGCACAGTACACGCACCCACGGTTGATTTGCCGGATGGGAATCAGACCCTCTCGATACAAAGTCCCGATGAAATTCGAGTGATCCTGAAGACCGTAGACGCGCAAGACGAACGTAACCGGACCAGCATTGCTAGACGCAAGGTGAGTCAGTCGAGGGTGTGCCGAGTCCGTCAGGAGGAGGTGCCTTTGACAGATAGGGGACCCAAGAGCGACCAATTGGAGGTCGAGGACGTGGGGGATAGGATTCTAATTAATGGTATGGGGTACGAGAAGGAGGACGAGGAGGAGGAGTTCGGTGGATGCGTGAGTGTGTCTTTTTTGGAGGTATCCCCCTAGCCGGCGGAGTCAAGAAACATAAAACCGTGGCGGAAAAAGTAAAACATGCCGCAATCATCCGGGATAGAACGGGGGAAGCTACAATATCGGAAGAGGAGATAGCCGATATCATTCGGAAGAGGAAAGAGACGGAAGGGCAAAGGATAACGGCCGCAAAATGGATATAGGAGATGGGAACCTCACGGAGGAAGAGAAGGGGCTAATAGCAATGACCCTAAGGGGGTGCGATAAGGCCATTGCCTTTGATGACTTGGAGAGAGGGAGGATCGACCCAAGGTACGCTAAGCCGGCACAGATCCACATGGTCCCGCACATGCCTTGGAAGGATAGGCCTTAGTCGAAGTACGCTCAAAAGGAGAAAGAGGAGATAGTGGTCTTTATCAAGGAAAAGATAAGGACGTTTGTCGCGGAGCCTTGCGAGAGTGCCTACTCCAATAAGTAGTTCTTTATGAGGAAGGGGGGTAGCAACAAACTGAGATGGATTCAGAACCTCCAGAGGACCAATGCGGTCACCATAAGAAATGTGGGGTCTATACCTGAGGCCGACTTGCTAGCGGAAGGATCGGCAAGCCGCTCAATATACTCTATCTGCGATCTCTTCTCAGGGTATGATGAAATTCCCTTAGATTACCGGGACAGGCACATGACCGCCATGCATACGCCTTTAGGGCTGGTTCAAATGATGGTAGTACCGATGGGTTGGACGAATGGGGTAGCAATGTTCCAAAGGGCCATGATCGCGGTCCTCAAGGAGTTCATACCGGAGAAGGTGGAGGTCTTCCTGGATGACTTCCCGATAAAAGGGCCGGTCGAGCGAGATGAGACCGAGGTTTTCCCGGGGGTTAAAAGGTTTGTGGCCAACCACATGAGAGATGTCAGGAACATCCTCGAGAAACTAGATGATGCCAACCTCATGGTAAGCGGGACTAAGAGTCGTTGGGGAGTTTCCTCCATCAAGATATTAAGGTTTATTTGCGATAAGGAGGGGCGGAGGCCTGACCCCGAGAAATTGGTAAAGTTGATGACTTGGCCATCGCCGCTCAAATCCATAACGTAGGTCCGACAGTTTCTAGGGGTTGTGGGCTACTGGAGGATCTTCATAAAAGCCTATGGAGAGAAAGCAGAACCCCTAAGAAGACTCCTCAGGAAATCAGAAGGATGGGTTTGGGGAGAAGAACAAGTCGCGGCCATGGAAGCTTTGAAGGAGGAGTTCCGCGAAGGTGGAGAGGTCCTAGGAGTTCCGTTCTTCGAAGACGAGGAGAGTCGCCCGTTCATAGTGTCCACGGACGCTGGACCTCATTCAGTAGGAGGCATCCTGTCACAAAAGGACGGAGAAGGGAAAGAGAAACCGTTGCGATTCGAGAGCCGGACATTGAACCCCGCCGAGAGAAATTACAGCCAATTCAAAAAGGAGGTGTTAGGGGTCCTGCATTGCCTAAAGGCCTTCCGTCATTACCTATACGGGCGACGATTTCTCCTGAGAGTAGATCCAACTGCAGTAGCGCCATTCCTTCAAAAGGATTTATCACTGACCGATCCGACCATTGCCCGATGGATGATACACATTAGGCTTTACGACTATAGCTCCGACCATTCGTGAGGAGGACTTACCTAGGCTTAAGGAGGAAGCAGTGACAATGGTCGAGGGGGGGATAATGAAAGTCACCGCTAATAGGGCGCAAACGGCGGGGAGCAGCCGAGGGGAAGAAGGGGGCCCAAGGACTTTTCTCGCAAACCTCTACGACAGGAAGTACCGGGACATAGGACTGTACTTGGCCGGTAGGGAAACAGGGACTGAAAGAATCCAGCAAGAGGCGCTGGGGTATTGCATGCGGGGAGGCCATCTCTTCAAAAGACCCACCAAATTTGCGATACCCATGAGGGTATTGTGCGATCCGGAGGAGAGAAGGGCGGTCATAGAGGAGTTACACGATGGGGTCGTTGGAGGTCATAGGGGGGTGAAGGGTACTTTCGACAAGGTCCGTAGGCTTTATTGGTGGGACGGACAGTACACGAAAGTGGAAAAGTACTGCTCTACATGTGAAGCCTGCCAGAAGAGGGCGACGGTACGGTACAAAGACCCCTTAGTCTCGTCGCTTCCCACGGTTCCGGGCGAGAAGGTCCATGTAGATTTAGTGACCATGCCGAAAGGGGTCGGCGGACTTCGGTATATAATCAACGCCCGGGATGACCTCACGGGATTCGTAGAGGCAAAGGCCATTAAGAAGAAGACGACAGAAGAGGTAAGTGAGTTTCTCTTGGAATATATCATGCGGTACGGGTGTGTCGGGAGAATAGTCATGGATAGGGGCGTCGAGTTCTTGAGCCAAAAGGTTAAGGCGTTATTGGAAAAGGCAGTGGACGCTCTGGCGAAGAGGTGCAAAGGCCGCGCGGAACAGTGGCCGAGATACTTGCGGTACGCGGTTTGGGCCGATAATATCACAGTCAAGTTCAGTCCGGAATACCCTCCTTACACCCTTTGGTTCGATAGGCACTGTCCCCTACCCATCGAATTCCACATTGACACTTGGACGAGTGTCTCGTGGGAAACCAACATGTTCAGGGCTGAACTGTCGGAGGCAAGGATACAGCAGATAGCCGAAAACTTGGATACCAGGGTAACCGCGGCCAGTGAGAACGTCGAGAGAAAAAGGGTGAAAAAAAAAGATAGGTGGGACAAAAATTTGCGGGTCAGAAAAGCGCCGATAGGGGTTAACGACCTAATTCTGATGTACGATTCGTCGCTAGAAAAGACCTGGAGCCGGAAATTGGTGAACCGATGGATGGGGCCTTATAAGGTCCTAAAGAGATTGGATGGGGGGGCTTATATGCTCACGGAATTAGACGGGAGCAGGCTAAGGGACCCTATCGCGGGGGCTCGTCTCAAAATTTTCCGAGCAAGAGGGACCCTTGGGGAAGAGCTGTGTCAGAAATGAAAAGAAGTTATTGACACAAAGGTGAGCGTAACCCACGAAAAAGGGGAGACCTCCAAACAAGGAGCCTCTTCTCGACCCCCAAGGAAAGGGTATAAGGTCCGGAAAACTGCCCTACCAAAGACCCCTAGGAAAAAGAAACGACCGAGGGAGGATGACGGAGATACTGACCGATTGAGGAAACGCAGGTTGAATGAGAGGAGGAATGCGTCAAGAAAGGCCCTGAGACTCAAACGTGAGAGAGAGGAGAGAAAACGGAAGAAAGAGAGGCGTGAGAAGAGGATGAGGAGACGGAGACGGGCGTAAAAAGGGGGAGGAGAATGGTGTACTATAGTTAGAAAACGTGGTCCGGAAAAAGTGATATGTCGAAGGGGAATTTGTACCATAATGTACAAAAGTTAGAAAACAGGGTTCGGGATCCTGAGAGGATATTGTACCGTAGACCGGTGTCATAAGGCAGGGATGTGTCGCGGGGCATGGATACCGTCGTGACGAGACAGTAGGGTCAAGTCTGGGAAATGGGTTAAAAAGGGAGAAACCTTTCATTGAGCAAGGGGCTACGGTTAAAAAGGAAGGGGTACAAGGTTCGGAAGCCTTGCCTACCTAAGACCCCAAGGAATAAGAAAAGACCTAGAGAGGATGAAGGTGGCACCGACCGGTTAGGGAAACGCAGGCTAAGAAAGAGAAGGAGAGCCTTAAGGAAAGCCGTGAGAATCGAACTGGAAAGAAAGAAGAGGGAACGGATGAGAGAGAGGCACGAGAAGAGGAAGAGGAGACGGAGACGGTCATAGGATGATGCGCCATGAGTCCTAATCCTAGGGAGGGTGATTGTACCATAGTTAGAGAGGGACATGTGCCACGGGACCGAGGGGAAGGATGTACCATGGTTAGGAAAATGTGAGTTGGAAAAGGGCGATATGTTGTGACTCCGGAGGGAATTTTGTACCGTAGTTAGGGAAAACGGGCATAGTTAGAAAAAAAGGGGCACCAACGGGTGTGTATACGGAAAAAGGGAAGGGGCAACCAGAGGGACCCGGAGAAATGGGATAGACTAAAATAAGGAGAGAGGACATACAATGGGAAATGCTCGTCGAGGACGGCGAGAAATGGGGTGTGGGCTGGTTGTCGGGCGGCTGTCTAACGGCCGAAGGGTTTTGCTTTGACATAAAAAATATTTTTTCCCTTTTTTTTTGCAGTTTTTGCTTGGTTTTGACGTATGAGTGCATATGGATATGGCGTTTGTGGATGTCCTCGGGCGTCTGGGTCTTCGTACTAACCCTTCGGCTGGCTGAAGTGAGGATCCAAAACTTGGTCGCAAGTGGGCTCGGGCGGATCATAAAAGATCGGAGTTGGGGTGTCAAAATCTGGAAATACAGGGCGAAGGATGTACATCGGAATGGGCCTTGGTCGGACCTAAAACGGAGAACCAGTGAAGGCGCTAGACCTCGGTTACGTATGACCGCCGGGCTACCACGGGTGCACGTGGTGGGGTTTGCTCTCACTTGGCCAAGAAGACGGTACTGAAAGATCAGGTTCGACGTAATGGCCCTTGTCGCGAAATAAGGCCGAGGCTATTCCGCTACGACAATCACGTGAGAATGCTCCGATTTCTGAAAAAAGTCGTGGTTTCAAAAATCGGCAGCTGAGGCTTCTCATAGTTGGGGCGTAGACTGGCTTGGGATATGGCGCGCTGACCGAAAAGAGGGCGGGTACCTGGACGTGTCGGCTGCGGTCGGTCAATCGAAAACAGCGGCAAAGGGATCTGGACTTCCCGTAAGGGCCACAGTATGAAGGAGGACGGTGTAGGTTGTCTTTGCTTTTGCGTATTGGTGTGTGGATGCAAGAGACTTAGAAATTTTNTAGGGAGAGGGAAGAGGGAGGTGATACCTGGCACTTGGTGTCTCCATGGGCACAAGGTATACCAAGACCAGGAGGGTCTTGGCCTTCGCTGCAGCAAGCCTGCTGGAGGAGAGAGGGCCCTGTCTCTTATACACATCTAGATGTGTATAAGAGACAGGTATGAAGGAGGACGGTATAGGTTGTCTTTGCTTTTGCGTATTGGTGTGTGGATGCAAGAGACTTAGAAATTTTCGGGGGGGGGGGGGGAGAAATTGCTTCTCTAAATTTTTGCTGACGCTTTAAGGAGCAGGGAGAGAGACAACCAATGCTAAGCGCAAAAGCGGGTCGGGGGGGGGGCACGAGATGGGCGACTCCAACTCAGAGCAGACCATGCGCGGCAAACGACCGATGATGTGAATTCCGACAAAGGAGCAGGCCGGAAAGCGCCAGCAGCCAGGGTTTGCAGACATAGAACTGAAATGGGAAAATGCAGATGATTGCAGTCACGTTGCTAGCAGGGTAGATTCCCGTAAAAGACACTGGGCACGGATAGACATGCTCTAAAAAGGGGGATGAGGAGCAGGGAACCGACTGAGGGGTCAAGAAACAAAAGAGGAGCCTTGGCTCGAGCCTTATTCAGTGTGTATCGGGCTGAGACTTCGATAGGGTGCAGTACGGCCAGTCGAAAAAGAGGGAGACGGAGGGACGCGAGGAAATAATCTGGGGCAGCGACTGAAACAGTTGGGAAAAGAGGAGGCGGGTATTCTGTTCTTGATAATTGTGAAAAAAAAGAAGAGCGGCGCGGGCTTTTGTCCCCAACTATGAGCAAGGAGAAAAGATCCGGAAAGGGGAAAAACGAACGATGGGATTGGAGAAGAGATGACAATCGCGAGCGCATCAACGGGGACTTGAAATTGGAGTTGGCCAGGCAGAGCGTGGGAGCTCCTGCGGGCATAACAGGCTGGATTAAGCGGGCGAGGAGGACCTGGGAGTAAGGGAAGCATGGAAGGGAAAAGGGAGGCGGTTCGCAGGGAAGGGCAAGCGACGAGGGCGGGAGGTAAGCTCCGCTAATGTACCTGAGCGGGGACTGGGCCGAAGTATAGTCGGTTTTCCTGCTGGGCGAAGCGAGCAATCCGATTAACAAGAAGGGAAGGGATAATCGCGAAGTGAGGAGGACCGTTAGAAGGGGAAACGGAGGGAACTTCGAAGAAGAAACTCTTTCCCTCGCACGAAGGATGTTAGAGTTCGTCTGCGCTCGTTCCGAGGAGAAAAAGAGAAAGCGAGGCCGAGATGGAGAGCGCAGGGGCTGGAACTAGAGGAGAAGTGCTAGTGTCGAGGGAGCTACGGGCACGCACGGGGATTTGGTTTACGTTCTAGCGCACGGGTTGATCAGGCTTGCGTCATTGCGCCCGAGGAAGCGCCCGACATGTCAGAGATGGTCTGAGGGCATGAGGAGAGGAAGAGAGAAGGGATGGGGAAGAGGTAGGAAGGGAGGAGGAGAGCAGAAGGAGCGCGCACGGAGTAGATTCGGTGGTCGTCACGCCACTTCGAAGAAGGGTTCTCTAGGCGTACGCATGTGGACCGGTTCAGCCGCACATCGCTCGCGAGAGGGGCTAGTAAGCTTGCCAGCTCGCCCACAAGCGAGGGAAAGAGCGAGAAGGTTCGACGGTGAGTGGGCCCGGCTGCGTCCGCGTGGGCGAGGGAGAGGGGAGAGTGGAGGGAGATCCTTTGGGGAAGGAGAGCACGGGTAGGAGAGCGTGAGAGCTCGAGAGCTCGCGTTTTTGTGCACAAGTTCGAGACGCTGGTGCCAGGAAGAGGGTCGGGCGCAGGGAAGAGAAAAAGGGAGAGATAGAGAAGAGCAGAGCGGAAGAAGAGAAGAGATCGTGGCCAAACGACACGAAG